CCCTACTATCTCAAATTGTGTTATTAGAAATGAGAAAATACACAATAGAAATTCTTGCAATTTATATTCAAATAGAAATATTTTTTAATAAAACAACATTTGAAATCGATAGAATAGATTACAAAATATACCGAAAGCTAGCTTTTTATTTCTATAGGGTAACTCCGGCAAATACGCCGCGCTGAGATTACGCCGCGAAAGTCAGAAAAAATAGAAGGAGTGGGGGTAATTTTCCCGTAACTACTCTGTTACATGCCTTTATGTTATATTAGTATTGTGTTATGATTACAGCTTCTTACTGTTAATATTAATGAATTTATTGTGAGTTGAATCGATTTGTCACTGTAATAAGTAACGCCATCATAAGTTATAATCTATTTGCATAAAATGATTAATGTAGGACGTATGAAAGACTTAGTTATTTCGTGATACATACGTGTAGTGGAATAGTAAAGTATGTTTGTGTATTATTAAGCATGTTTGCATTATTTGTAAATTTTTCATGAGCCGTACATACACATCCTTTCCCCGTATGAGTAGCCATATATCCCACCCCTATGAGATATACGGCAAAAATACAAGGTTTCAAAAAGTTTATTTTTTAATATGAAAAATAAATATTTCGGATTTCTAATATTTTTTTCATAGTAGTAGACAGTACAAAGTTTTTACTGATATAGTTCGTTTACTATAAACATAGTAAATAATACTTACTAAATTAAGTTTTTGATAGGTGCGGCGTATATATCGGAGTTACCCTATATATTATTAATCGGTCATAGCTGTGAACATATCCTATTTCATTTTTAATTATGCATAATTCATTTCCATCAGATTTACTTATTAATTAACGAAACAGAAGAAGTTTGCAAATATATTTTACAAGTCGATTCTACTAATTATAAATGTTGTTTTATTGGAACATATTTGTATATTAACATATTTTGCAAGAATTTTTATCATGTATTTTCTCGTTTTTGACATTATAATCTGAGATAGTAGTGATAAGTGAACAGGAACCTTAAGAGATTCAATGATTATACATATATAGTTAATCACTGTTCTTGTAAGATACTATCACGCTAAAAAGCTAATTCATGTACCTATTAAGAAGAGCGTGCAAAAAATAATGAGAAGAGTAGCATTAAAAGGGTATTTCTCATCAGAATAAATTCGAAAAGTGATACACGATGACAGCAAATAGTAAATCCAAATTCTGGAATTCGATTCTGTCGATAGTGAAATGAAAAACAAAAAAGCCGCGAGAAAATAACCGCAGAGGGGATCGGAATAAAAATAGCAACGCCTAGGAAATTCCACTCCGCAACGGTCATAGTTTTTTTTCTCGCGCACCTCCGTTTTTTTCCCATTTTTCTTCGTTTCGAAAAATGATGCGACGCTTTGTGAGCGCCACGCCAACCGGCGATATCCACCGAGCCCTATTCCCTTCCACCCGCGCGCGTGTATACAAGCGTGTACCGGAAAATTTAAATCAACGAATAGCGTTCAGCAGTTCCATTGTAACGAGAAGAATAGGAGACGCGGAAGCGCAGCGCGACAGATACGCCGGAGGTTGAATATCAAATGGGACATGACCGGTGCTTTATTTCTATTCCGCTTTCATGTTCTCGCACCTCTCTGGTGCGTGTGAGCGCATACGAAAGAGCTTTGTGCGTTTTTTCCTCTTTTCGACGTAAAGCGCGAAGAATCGTTATTGGATCGGACCAGACATGGCCCGAAGGCTGGAAGCGTAGACGAGGAGACGCCACCCGCCATAAGATGGAAAAGATTGTACGAGACGATGCAAACGTCCCATTACACAAAAGTCTCGGAAGATTCTAATCCTACAGGAATTCAACGTCACAAAAATCCAAAGAGAGATCCGAAGGAAGTACGAAAATTCACAATCTCAACAATCCAATCGATATCGGATTGCGTCACTAACGTCCTATTGAATAAAAGTCTTAGGAGGTGGATACAACAAGCGGTGAGAACTCAATCTCCTATAAAACTTTAAGAGATAAGAAGCCCAAAGAAAGATAAGGAAAAGTTTTTAATCTTTTGATAGGAATATTTTCCGCAAAATTTTTAAACAATAATCGTATCATAAACAATTTAACTCTGAAATAGTTTCTTCAGATATTTTTAAACTCTCCTACGGCGAAAAAAGGTGAATTGTAAAATATTATTTTGTATAGATATTGTTTAACAGATTTTCCTTCTTTTTTTAATAACTATTCTTTACAAACCTTTAAATGTGCAATTCTATCAAAAATTCGTAATAAAAAAGCATTATATTAAATGAAATTTTTATTTTTTACAAATACCTTCATAATGAACTACTTAATGTGCTTATTCCGTTTAATTTTTATTTAATCTCTAAGTTACAGAAAATTTTATAAATTCATATCTATAATATTTTCAAATACTAATAAATGGAAAAACAATCGATAACATACAATATGTTGTTAACAATCGTGATTTTAATTGAAATGTAAAAATATTCCAGATGATCGTTAAAACGTGGAAAAAAATCAGGTAACTACTCCAAAACAAATAGGAAGATATTCCACTATATTTAACAATTCAATCAAATATTATTTAGAATTGATTGAATTTGATTGGTTATGGATGACGAGGATCAATACTATGAAATGTAATCTTGAAGAATAAAATTAAACTGAATTAAAGATTAAAATTAAAGTTTACAAATTGAAACGTTTATTTAGCATGTCCGTCTCTAAGTCGACTCCCAAAGTAGCGACCCCGACGCGCGATTTTAAATAGATTTTTATTCTATTTTATTTTTAACTTGGAAATCCCCAAAATTAATTAACACAATTTGTGAAAGACCTACGGATAAAGTTATTAGAAGAACTATTTCTTATTTACGAAAAGACTGTTTTAATATACCATTGCATTTCTGTTTGTAAAAATATAAAAGTTCTTGAAAATAACACAGCGATATCCTATATATTAGCAGCCGTACGGAAAAATTTAAGAAACCAGGTAAACACTACAAAAATCCAAAATAAAAAAAATAAAAAAGGGGTAAATACCTCCCTACAATAATTCAATTAGATGAATATTTACTAAACAATCTGCAGGAAATCCTAATCCTATTTAATCTTATAAAATCCTACATGGTTCTACAAAATCCTATAAGGAAATTTAGAAAGGAGAAAGTTGGGCGTTTTTCCACTCAGCACAGCTTTCCAAATTATCGATTTGGCAAAACCGGTGGGAAACAGTCGGCGCAACATCGTTGACCTAGATCCTGGCGACAGTAACGCCTCCCTTGTTAAGGCACCGAGTGCCCTAAAGTTAATGCGCACCGGCAAGTATATACACGCGACTCATAATGGGAATAATCCTCTTAGCTCCGCGAAGAACAATCTCCAGTATGTCGGCGGGTAAATATGATGGATAATTTAATGGCGTTTCGTGCAACGACTGCGAAGGAAACATACCGACCAGGTATGGTCTTATTGCAGCGGTGAATTATCACGTTCGAACTTGCCAGCAACAACAATCGTCGCTCGCGATTTAATTCGGTCGAATGAAAGGAAGGAAAAGGTGGAAAGCCCCTGAAGGATCGGGCCTGATTCGATTAGCGCTAATCTAATTTCTTCTTCTATCTGTATTAAAAGAGATTGGAACTAATTGATTATATGGCTAACTGATACCGTTGGTAATTTCTGATTTCGTTTAAATTATTAATTCAATAATTAAAGAATAATTATCGCCAAAAGAGAGAGATACCTATAATTTTTTACTAAATGACAATATCGTTATATGGGACTATTAAAATCTATGATTCCAGTATACCAATTTGTTTCTATAGTTCCTATAATTGGATTTGGAAGAAGAAAATAGCCCACAATTACCGTACAATATAATGAAAAGCACTCGACCGTAATCATCTCGTTACTATTCAGAGCGCGTAGTGTCGAAATTTCTTCGTATCGCGAAATTAGTGTTTCAGTATTCAACCGTAAGGTAGGACTACGAAACCCCGATGGAACAAATACGAGAATAAATATGCACAAGCCTGGACGGCTGGCAGATTTACGAATCCAGATTTATTTGACGGAAAAACGAAGTCGGAACGGTTTGCGTATCATGACAATGCTGAACCCGACAAATCGGGTAAGACTGTCGCCAATGGCGCCATCCGGCCGTCATAAATATCACCTCGACTCCGCCAATTGATAGCGATATCTCGCTCAGCGAACGATATACAAAGTAGGACGTGATACGCGTCTGAACACTAAATCATACTCGCTGCTCGCCAGAGCCAATCTCTACATTCCGTAGCCATTTAGCTCTTTCACGCGGGAGGGTTGCACTCGTCGCGCGGTTTCTAGTAGTCCAAATAATTCACATAACAAATGCAAAAATCAATTAATATTTCAAGCAGAATGTGCGTAAATTAAGTTTAGCATAACTAATTGTGTATTGGGATTTCTAGAACATATTGTATTTCAAATACAAAAATTGGAAAAAGTCCTACAAGAAACACCTATTACTTGTTGAGGAACAAAAAAACTGATCAAAATTTGTTCCTCAATGTTATTAATCAATATAAATAAAAATAATTTGCTAATAATCTTTAAGATTCGAAAAGATTTTGTTCACATAACCAGTCATTTATAAAACTATCGACTATTTATTATAATTAATAATGATATAATGTACCTAGACTAAAGGATTAAACACAATTATATGTATATATAAATATAGAAATAATTAATGACTGAAATTACACCACTATATTTCCCTTTTCCTCTCATTTTTCTCATTCAGACATGACTAATCCCAATTTCACTCCTACGTTTATCTCATCTGTTATTTGATGGTCCACGACATGCGACGATTGAAGTTAAGCCCATCGACGATAATTCCGGTGTGATCACGGCGATGTTATACTAGCCGTAACCGTCGATAATGGACACCAAGAGCATTGCACTGGCTATAAGCGGTGCTTGTTTTGATTGCAGGCTTTCTAAACGCCAACACAGACTCGCACTTACGCTCGCCAGCGAATTACGGTCTGATGGACCAGATCGCAGCGTTACACTGGGTACAGGAGAATATCGCTTATTTTGGGGGCGATCCCAAAAACGTCACGCTGGTAGGACACGGTACCGGCGCCGCTTGCGTGAACTTCCTGATGACCAGCCACGCGGTTCCTGATGGTGAGTTACGCTTTCAGTTCACATTTGTAGCAAAGTTCATCTCTCTGGTTTTCGGTCGAAGACTCCGGTTTTTCAAACGAATCTCTGACTTTCTGACAGAAAAATCTCTGATTAACCGTTTTAAATTTTGATTTTTCTCAGGTTTCAAAAAGAAATCTCCCACAAAAGAGGGCCAGATCTAATGATTTTTTTTCAGAGAGAGCACTATAAAAAAGTAACATTTTCGGCTGTAATAATCGATCTCCGCCATAGATTTCCAAGGCAATACTTGTCGAAAGGTGACAATTATAGCTTCGCAGTGTTTTCGAATTTGTATTGATACAGAAACGCTTCTTTCTACGATACAAGAATAATTATCAAAATATGTGTGTAAAACGATTTGCGTTAACGAACTTTGTAATAATACAAATAAAAAGTTTAAAGTAATATGTATAAAATAAACTGCAAAAATTTTTAGTAAACAAAAATTGACTCAAAATTGACTGAGATTATATTTATAAAAAATGCAACAAATCTGCATATGTGTATTATAAAATACATTTTATATGCATTCCGCAAAAAACAAATTAATAGTAACATTACATCAATGTTGTATATAATTTCCTATTCAAATTTATATCGAGTAAAAAATTAAAATATTGATGTATTACTGGTAATTTGTTTCTGCCGGATATCATGTAACAGAATATCGTATAACTTTATTTGGAAAGAGTAAAATGTATTTTCGAAAGTTCGTTAGATCTTGGATACTTGTACTGAAATGTTCTTGTAACAGTTTATTGTCTTGGACCAACCCATAGAAAGCTGTTTCTCTTGTCGTGTTGCAAGGAAATAGATAATGTCACGTAGAAAGGGTAGAGCGCAAGAGGGGCACAGAAGGGTAGAGGTCGAAGAGCGAGAAGCCGCACGAGACAATGATACGGAGAAGCTAGGAATAATGGGGTGGTTTACCAGACGCCATAAATTATAGAGGAATCAGCTGGCCTCACCACCATTGACAACTCACAGCTGTAGTGAATTATTATCCAGAAGGTCCTCTGACGATAAGCTTTGCGGTTCCGAAACAGATTGCAATACTCTGTTTTTTGTCTCCTCTAACTGATAAACTCGAGCCAGTATTACGTGACTCGTCGAAGAATACGACGAAGAATAATAGCGATATCCGGCTAAAAAATTATATCGTATCTCTTCCTTACGAGCTGCTATTTTCCCGCAAAAACTGACCGCGATTCGGCGATAAATAATAAAGAATAATACGTAAAGTTTAAATTCTCTCTTACTGTATTAGACCATGAATCTTTAAATTTTTCTGAAAACTCTTTTAATTTCTGGTTTTATAGTTGTTGAATTTAAAACTATCTATGGTATTTTAGTATTCTGGAATTTGAAATAATTAAATTCTTCGATTTTTTTTCTAATTCAAATCTCCGTAATTGATCTAGATTTTTATTATCCATTTTTCTGTCAGCTTTCATTGAATATGTGCATCTCATTTCTTCACATCTTGTATCCCGGCTTTAACAAATCCCGAAATTTTCTATTTCTTATATAGTTTCTCGTCTCTTCTTTGATTCTGTCTTGAATAATGTATATGCTTGAATCTTCGGACCTCAACTTCTTCAAATCCTAAAATCTCACGATTTTTCAATTTCTCGATTGCTTCAATCCTGCATCTTAACTTTCTTGATTTTTCGATCCTTATGAATCTTAGTTTCTCCCTTTTTTTTCTTTAAATCTTGATATTCGGATTTCAGTTTCTCCTTTCCTTTGATCCTACAGCTTTAATTTGTCGAACGCTTGGCTCCTGGGATCTTGTTCCCTCGAAGGAATTAATTAATCCTTGGGTATTATAGAGACCTGCCATTAAATCCAAGTAACGCAACGGAATTTGAGCCAGCGATAATCCTTTAATAGTCCTTTAATGTCGCGAGCTTCGACACCATCTTATCGTTCGGTGTCGTCCTCTCGACAACGACGGATATCGGAAGAACGAGGCCATCTTGATTCCGTAATGTCGGAAATACGTCGAGGATGCCGCCAGGATATTCAGAGTTTACCCTAGTATCTCCTTCGCTAAATGAATGAGAGCGAATCAGACGTCGACATGTATCGGGATAACATCACTCTCGAAGACATATTTCGAATATCAAGATGATTGACCGACCAAGCTACATAGAAAAACGTCGCTTTTTATTTTATTTTCGCTTGCTTGAATACACAAATATTACGAGGATACTGTGAGAAAACTTATTAAATATTGAACAAATCTTTCTATTTACAATACAAAGACCGTAATATGACTATAATATAACGAATTGGAAATAAAGCCCTAAACCTTTCTCATGTTGCGGGCAAAAATTAATAATATATAATTATATAATTAAGAATAAGAAAATAAAAAATTTAATAATAATAATAATATTGGGAATGATAAGCATAATGTAATATAATGTAATTAATAATTAATGAAATAATAACATAGAAGTAATTGAAACAAAAGCTCTCTCTGTCTGTTATAAATTAATTAATTACAAATAATAAATAAAGAAGTATTTTTCTACTTCTTTTGATTAACATTGTATATGTTGAGATCTGGTACGTGTATAGTATCTTTCATGGAATCTCTCGTCTCCTCGAGATATCAAGATTAACGACTCACAAAATTGGGATTAAGCGACTTATCTCGGTCTTCTGTATTAAATAATAGACGAACTAACACGACGAAGTTATGTAACATCATATTCGCCCTACCGCCTTAATTTTCTTCGTGCTATAAACCGTGTACTCTCTTGTCTATTCATGTCTTACGTAATGCCCAATTTTGCGACGTGTGATGAGAAAATTAATGACTAATAAGCTCCTGCTCTTTGTTGTAGATACTACATTTTATTATTACTACCGAGAAAGAACTTTTAGTATTTTATTTTCTTCTATTTTTTCCGTACAAAAAAATTAAAATTATTAATTAAATAGAAAGATGTTTCAACACTCTCGGAAAATAAATAAGAATTCATTTACTTAATTATTCATTTTTCCCTTTACGTAATATTAACATAGAAACGATGGTGCAATGTAACTAGTGTAAAAATGTAGATAATAATAATGAAGCAATTTTTATAATGTATGCTGATACAAGACGGATTGCAACTGAAATTTTCTCTATAAAAAGTCTTCGATCGTATTTTTTAATACCGCAGCGCATTCATCTTTCTAGTACAGACATCTTGTATATGGCTATGTTCGGCGAGTTGTACCCCTCATCTTTAGAGCGGAAATCACTGATAACCTCGTAATGGAAGTCGTTGATTGGAAATAAATCTATCGAGCGGTCGAGATGAGTATTCGTTACTATGCATTGAAACTCGGATTGTATTTCGTTTACTCAGGTAATATCGTAGTTCCGTCCGCGAAGGGAATCGACCCCGAAATCATCTCGAAATTCAATTCTACGTCGCGATATATAATCTCTTCCTACGCGAACAAACATTTTTGTATTACGAGATACGATTTGTAAATCCTGAGATAAAGCCAGGTCCTTTCGAAAAGTGCGACACGGAAATTCCACGCGTCGTATGGATTCCGGAATCGCATCTTGAATCGCGCAACGATTCAAGATATAGAATTTTTACGATGCAGAACATTTCCGGGAACATTTCCTAGCGCACAAAGAACATAAAGATTGGCAGGGTTTCTGGAATTGTATACGGAACAACAATAATAACGGACAGGAAATACTTAAGAATTAAAGATCTCTCTCTCTCTCTCTCTCTCTCTCTCTCTCTCTCTCTCTCTCTCTCTCTCTCTCTCTCTCTCTCTTATGCAAAGTATTGTTAATAATTATATAATTATACCTCTATTTACATTTCCGTATCGAGCAAGATGTTGTAAAATATTAATAATGTCTCAATGAGACCTTCATTTATTTATTTTATCAGTGAGAATAATGAATTGCGCTTTAATTAATATTCTACAAAGAAAAAAATCTCCTGTATTCGAGGCTTGTAATAAACCTTGTGAAACGCACAGTATATAACATCGGCGGTTCGATTGCAGGTCTGCTGTTTCATCGAGGCGTTCTGATGTCAGGCAGCGCGCTTTCACCGTGGGCGTTAGTGAGAGGCGCCGCCAATTACGCCATGCAGGTCGCCAAACACCTAAATTGTTCGTCGGTGAGTACCAACAAACATGTCCTCTCGATCGCGCCGAAATTATCCGACGCCTATAATTTCATTAACCCTTTTACCACCCATACAAACCTTTCTCCTCAAAAGTAACGGCATCTGCCAACATAGAATTTAGCGACATAAGAATTTAGATCAACGCATCTTGCACATGTGTGTGTTTAAGAATGTATCAAATACATAGTATGTGTTACAGTCTCTGCAAAAAGAGACTGGAATTGAAAACTTATACTTTCCGTAAAAATGAATGTTATATATATATAGAGGAAAGGTCCCTATTATGAGATATCGAATTCATTTTGGGTAAATGCTAGAAGTCTATAAGCAGAATAAAAAAAAATGATAGATCACTTTGAAAGGAATTTAATAAGCTTTAAGATAACGTTACCTAAAATTTAATTCAAGTTCCATTTTTTTTTAAATTAAAGAAATGTAAAAAGTGAGCAAAACGCAAAATGAAAAAATTGTGCTCCTAATATGAGATGTCCCGAAAAATCGATAGTAAAACGGAAAGTATATCAATATTGCAATTAAAAAACTTTATTTAATGTTTCTAAAATACGAACAAACATAGCCAGCGTGCGCGAAAAATGAGCATACAATAGATTATACTTAGAACTTGTTTTTAGGTAGTTGGAATCAAGCATCGCAGATATAGGCACTCGACGTTCATTTTGGTTGTCTTTTTTATTATTGTACAATAACATTTATACTTTAGCGATTTTCACTATAACATAGGAGCATTCCTAATATTTCATATTAGGAATACCCTGGGTATCTCGTATTATGATTTCCACGCCTTATAGCTTTACGATCATCAAATCTAACTTCTATAATTAAACAATTCAACATATCCCATATTTTTCTATTAGTATGACCTTACTCTATCACTACATGAAGATTTTATTACCAAATATTTATTTATTAAATAATAAACAAGGTTTAAATGCTCATCTCAATAAAACTTGAAGACATCCAAATTCTAAAATCTTGTTTTACAATAACTACAGGCATGATCTAATAATGAGCTTTTTACTACATAGTTTTCAATCCAAGAGCAATAAATTCATAGTGGAACCAATAGATAGCGTTTATTAGTTTAGCAGAAACGATGCTATCTCATATTAGGCGCCTATCTCATAATAGGGGACTTTCCTCTATATATTCAATAAAATCAATTTAATAAATAATTAACAATACAATTTTACAGTTTAAGTGAAATTTTTTTATTTTATCTTAATTATTATTTTCATTTCACACACATTTAATTATTTTTTTAAAAACATGTTTACTTCCTATTGAAATAATTTGTTATCCAGGGATCTCAATCACCACCAAATTTTTACTTTCACGTGTAATATTATTTAATAATATTACTTCTACTAGTAATATTACTTTTAGATATAATATAGAAAAATCTGTAATTTTCCATAATTTTTTCATTTTATTAAAAAATACGTGTAACATCCTTAACTATAGCAGTTGAAATTAGATCTTATGGAATTAAAACAGAAACTTTTGGGTAAAATTTAAGCCAAATCTCTAAAAAGTACTAAAAAAAATTTTGAAAAATTCAAAAGCTGCGAACAGATTTAACTTTACGTGACAGCGAACGTGATGAATCCAGCGTTAAATTCGAACACATTTCGTTGATTTTAGTTTAGTTACAGAGTGAGACCGATCGACAGAATACAGTGTGCTCGTTATATTTCATCGTGTCGACAGTCTCTCGGCGTTAATTCTTATTCGCTCGTTTTCGAGTTCGCATAATTCGCGATAATTCCGATCGTCGGCGACGAAACGACCGCGTAAAAGCGGGCGGGCATAAATTAAAATATCAAATACGAGTATACTCGCGCACCCGGTGTTTTTACAGCATTAATTACGCAATACCAATTATATTAACGGTGCGTTTCAATTAAGCTAATATACACTCGAGACATCGGCCCCAATAGGCGAATGCGCGCGCACTTTCAATAAAAGGGACATTAAATTTCGCAAATTGCAGACTGGACGATGTAAATTTGGTACATGCATAGCTATATATTATAGTCCAGCTGTGACAATTATTCTATCAGTTAGACATTTCTTGATTGTTCGAATATAACGTTTCATATATCGATTTTACAGGAAATAATATTAAATGAAATTATAGCTATCTCAAATTTCAATAAAAGATACCGCCATACCATTATTGCATAAATTCGTCATTCCCATCCAGCTTTTGTTATCTTTTTCCTATTCTTCCCTTTTTCTCTGGATACCCTCCTTCGCTACGAGCCATAGAAAATATGTTGTCCTCGGTTGACGGTTATTTTATTAAAGGTGAATTACGTACTTGGCTCACTTTATAACCGCAAAGCCACCGTGACGTATCCTTTATTGAAATTGATATGCAGCGCTGTAAATTCCGGCGACGATATTCCCGATCTGGTCGAAAAGCCTCGATATCTACAAGCCCGTCGCGTTTTCTCGTCCATCAAAAATAACGCAATAAAAGATACCTCGGTTCCAACAGTGTTTTCCCAATTTGAACTTCCCCCTGTGGATATTTCGGCTGTGTGGACGGTACAGTGGACGAAGGCGGGGATGGAAATAAAATTGATTCCCGCTACAAGTGCGCCGATCCGAGCGGCATAATATAATCCCCATCTCAATTTCCATTTTGCACGCCGCCATTTTTCCAGGGCATGCTTTGGAAACATCGAGAAACAATTGACGTAATCCTCGTTTAATCGTTACTTTCAATCGCGAACCGCAAATCGGGACCGTTTAGGCTTGATAAACCGTATTTTTCAACTAACAATCCGGAGCTTTTTCAAATTGATATTATTCGGAAAAAAGCAAAGAAAAGGAAAAAAGTTTCAAATTTTATCCAATTTTTTTGTGCAAATTGTTCTTTCGATATCAAATATAAACACACACACACACACACACACACACACACACACACACTCTCTCTCTCTCTCTCTCTCTCTCTCTCTCTCTCTTGCAGTAATGTTTATTTTCTAACAGTCTATTAAACAAAGTGATTTGTTTTTAAAGATATTTTGTCTGCACAATCAGCTAAAAATATCAGCTAAAAAAATCAATATCAGTATCAAAAACTTTTCACCATAAATTTGCCCTGAAACCAATTGCAAAAAATAAAACAACAAATAATCGGGCGGTTTAAAATAATGATATTTATTTGAAATTTTATAGGTAAATAATTTTTAAATGAAGTGAATCCAAAAATAAACTTTTGCGCGAATATTTATTAGAGTTTTATTAATACAAATAAAAAAGCTGATTTGATTCGTAATGCTGATTAAATTTGCAAATACTATAAAATGCGATTTTACATAAGAAACAAAATAAACTAGAAAATTTAAATAATTTTCATACTAATAAAATTGTGCTCAAATTTTACATAGATATAATAATAAATTTTACACAATAACTTTGTTAATAATCAATATTCAAGTTTAAAACTTGACAATTACATTCGTTAAAATGTTGTTGTAATCGATTCTGAATTCAAAGTTACGAAAAATTTATTACTTAGGATACTATTAATAAAAATGTGGTGACATTACATAATGACTCGAAGAAAAAAATTGGTGGTAATGTGGCCTTCCATAAAAAATAGCCTTAAAATATTAATTTTGTTTAGAAAACAGTATTTGGTTACAAAATTAACAAAAAAGTAAAATATTTTAAAATGTATGCAAATGAATGTATATACATTCACATAACTTCTGCACAGGGTTGGCAATGTTACCTCATAAAAATAACTCGTTACCGTTATCATTCTTTTTCCTAAAATGTAACTCGTTATCGTTACTTGTTATTCATTTGCAAAAATAACTCGTTATCGTTCTTCAAAATGTAACGAGTCGTTACTTTTTCGTTACTTTCTTTTCTTGACACTAATAGAATATTATAGCGTTTTTCATTGGCAGAACCTGTGCGCACTCACAATCAGTACACATTAAAGCCGTTGTACACAACTCTAAATGTAAAAATAAGATATCTCAATCGATAAAGTATATTTTATCAAATAGCATAATAAAATGTATTAAGGATTTCGCGGTTTAACTTGTTTCTATATTTTTATTAACATACATCTTTACGTTGATTGTACAGCAACTTTAAAGTGCACTGAATGCGCACTAGTTCTGCCAATGAAAAACGCTATTACATGCGTAATTAGATAAATTCAGGCGATAAATACAAAAAAGATGTCAGAATTCTATTTTTTAATGGAGGAATAAAACTCAAAAACTTAATAAATGTATATACGCTCTAGTTACGATTAAAACTGTTATGTAAATAGAAATAAAGTAACGATAAAAGTAACTAATGAAATCGTTACCATTACCCCAAAAATGTAACTGCGTTACCATAAACGTTACTCAGAAGAAAATGTAACGTCGTTACCCAATTGTTACCGAAAAAAGTAACTTGTAACGGTAACGATGTTACAAGTATATATAACGTGTTACTTGCCAACCCTGCTTCTGCATATAATCTGCTCAGTACTAAAAATCTCAGTACTATAAAAATAGTACACGTAATATAAATTACAGATTAACAGTAGAGCTACAATCGATTATCAAATAATTATTTTGATACGAAAACCTCAAAAAAGAGGTCGTGAGTAATCAATATCCATAGAGGGCCACATTAGCAAAATGCCATGCTATTGTTTAAATTTGCTCAAAATATATACAGTCAAATAAAATGTTAAATAACACGCTCAAAAATACATATATTTATGTGATAATACGCACAAGTTTAAGAAGAATGAGGAAGTAGGTGTAATTAAATGCTAAAATGTACCTCAGAAACGTTTCGAGAAATACTTGAAAATAAAAATGCGTTATAATAAGTGCTGGCTATTGAGTATTGGTATATTAGCGTCATATAGTGTAACAGTGCGAGCTACTGAACAAATAATTCCATAAGTAATCATTAGGATTCGCTATATAATAATGGAGATATTAAGGGAGGCCACAATATATACAGTGACCATAATACCACCTTCTCCTCTATTTTATGATGACACATATCCTTAAGGATGTATCAGATAGTCTCTGCAAAAAATGACTAAAATTTATACTTTTTTTACTATAAAAATAAATATTATGTACACACATAAACAGTTCAATAAAATCGATATTTAATAAAATTATATTTAATGATATAATTTGTATAATTTAAATAAAAATTTTCTCATTTTATTTTCTTTTTACAAAATATAACAGTTCTTAATAAAATAATTTCTAATCAAGGTTCTAAATATATTATATATATATATATATATGTATATAGCCGCCAAACTTTTTATATTACTTCCAAATATAACATAGAAAAATCTATCATTTTCTTATATTGTACTTGTTTTTATGTTGTTTTTGTTATATTACATTTTTTTTATTTTGATAAAAAATACGTGTGACATATCCATAAACTATATATTCTTGTTATGTTATGTTCACATAACAAATACTTCCTCATTTAAAAAAAAAATTTATTTTTTGCATCTGTTTATCGCACGCGATAAACTGTGCATAATGCACGAGATAACTCATGTGGCAAATCGCCCGAGCATAGCGGAAGGCGTTTCAGAGTTGACGCGTTTCGCGCGGGATGTGCGGGATCGTGTCGGGAAAGGGTCGACATTTTCCGGCGGCATTTCCCGGTGAGGATATACCGTCGGAACAAGGCGGGTGCGGCCTTAACGAGGCTACCGCCCTGCACTGGCAGTACTGGCACACACCGCCAGCAAGGTAAACAAGATTTCGTGCGTCTCTCAGCTAAATTCAATGGCGCCCGGAGTTGGACCGAGAGCTCACCGGCCTCACCAGGCGATTCGCTTTAATTTCAGGGTCGCACGCAAATGAATTGCTTTAGCGTTGGTAATCGTCTTTGGAAATCCAGCTCCCAACGCAGACACGGCGGTTACCCGCAATCGAATGTCGAATCGCCCGCTGACTAAATGCGACGTCCTGCGTGTGTGCAAATTGCCCGTCCGCACGTGGACGGGGCCATCGTTCTCGAACGAGGAACGCGTCTGATTGTGCCGATTCTCGTCCCGATAAAATTACCCAGCACAATCGTTAAATGTTACGACTTAATAGGGTATCCCGCAAGTCACGGTCTTAATTGTAACGACAGATTCTATGGCCAATCTGGAGCTTCGTCTTCTAAACGAAAATGTTGGATCATTCAATTTTTTATGTTGCTCAAGATTGTAATTAAACTTAATTACAATCTACATTATATATATTTACGTTTTATTACTATAATTAAACACAATTATGATTCTGTTAATTTCTTCGAAATTAAATGAGGAATATAATTTTATGATTTACTTATTTCCTCAGAATCTAATTTCTAAAATTATATCTTTTTTAATTGCTTGAGAGGAGATAGTTAAATTTGCACGGATTAAAAATAACAGTTTTTCAAGAATTCTTAAGAAAAAAATAATGAACCAAATAAGAGGTTTTCTCTTCGTTAAATATAATGTACTTTTATCTATATTAAAAATGTATCTATATTTAAAAAAATTTTTTATACAGATTTATTATGAATCATGATTGCGCAGCAGTTTTTTATTTTCTTCTTAAACATGGAAAACTTCATTCTTATTTTTAATGTAAGAGAAGATTGAAAAATATTAAAAAACGTTAATGTCCCTCTTTTTTATACGTTTAAATATAAAAAGTAAGATATGGTAATAAATTCTAATCATTATGATTTTTCTGAAGTGTTGACTTTATTTTCTTATAGGTAGCGGAAGATCCTCAGGCCCTGTTAAGATGTCTGAGAGATGTGTCCTTGAGTGAATTAGTATCGGTGCCTATTAAAGGATTGGAATTCGCGCCAGCTTTTGGCCCCAGTATAGACGGCGTTATAATCGATCCTGGCGATCCCGAGGATCAGGACTACACCCTGCAAGTCGACACGATCAATACGCTCAACAACATCCTTCTGAGAAAGGACGTCGTCGCGAAACTGTCGAGGTATCGTAACTCCTCTTTTTGTTTCAATCGTTATAACTAGCAAAATCGAGCACTGAGGCAAGGGAAAATAAATAGCGCGAGAAACACAATATCGGAGTTCTGAAGGAATATCACGAAGAAAGATAAAATCGCATCCTACAACATCGAGAATAACTCTTTTATTCCTCGTTGAAAAATACGAAAAGCTCGCGTAAACAAAACTGTAAGGGTCGAAAAATCTTAGAGTCCAAAGTACAAATGAAAGATCCTAATATTTAAGAATCTCATGAAATCAAATGGAGATAAACCCTTAAACTTTTACAGTTACATTATTAATTATTCCGTAAATTGTGAAATTTTCCATTAGCGACGAATATCATATAATGCGTAGCGCTGGAATTTCTACACAAATACAATTCTACAAGATTTGCAGAATCCGTGGCTAAAAAATAAACTTCTCGTATCGCAAGAAATTCTTCGTACTTTAAGACGAAGCTTATAAATTTGAAAATATTTTGTAAATCGCAAACTTCTTAATATTTTGTGAAACTTCTTTTATCTCTTTTAAACATTTAAAGAAAAATTCTTGAATTCACAGGTACGATTTGATGGTGGGAGTTGTTCGTTCCGAGGCATATTTTTCGTTAACCGCCGACGATGCTCAGTACGGGATTGAGGCTGATAGAAGGACAAAGATTCTGCGCGAATTCGTGCGGAACACGTATACGTATCACCAGCCGGAAATTCTAGCAACTATAATAAACGAGTATACGGATTGGGAACGACCTGTGCAACATCCCGTCAATATTAGGTAAGTTCTAAAGAAATTTGATCGAAAACAAATTTCATAACAATACTTTTTTATTTATTTTAATTACCGTTATGTATTTTAATTTATCTCCAGCTATTATTTATTTTATTGATGGCGAATAAATCAATCGTGACATTTATTTAATACATTTATTAGTTCTTCAATCTATAATTATTTGTTTCAATATTTATTATTATGAACCAACATATATTTATTAAAAAAACATTTTATTTGAAAGTATTCTTTTTATTCTTTTTATTTTGATTATACCCGTTATTTTTGCTATAAAATAAAAATAATTATATATACCTATATAAATTTCCTTCAGTTATAATAATTTATATTTTGTATTCTATTTATCTTAATTTTAATATTCATCTTTAAATTTATTTTCAGTCAGAGTTTGGAAGAAGTTTACGAAGTATATTTATAAAAAAAACCACAAAAAGGATACAACACAAATCTTTTTCAGGGACGAGACTCTCGAGGCCCTGGGGGACGCGAATACAGTCGCTCCGGCAACGAGAACCGCGGATCTTCACAGTCAATCCCACAGGAACTCCTATTTATATGTCTTCGACTATCAAACGAAATTCGGAGACTATCCTCAGGTTTGCTATCAGAATATACTTTTTATTCGCACAAGTTGGAATGAAAAAGAACTGGAAGTATCTAGACGTTGCAAAATTTAGAAAATAAAAGACATCTGGAAATATATCTGATTATTTTTTATATTGTAAAATACTGTTAATATTAATATCAAAATCTATATTTTGAATGTTATTCAATTTATCTTCCAAATTGTAGAATTTAAAAATAAATCTGTTTTGCAATAAATTTTGCATACCTTTATAGACTTTAAATATATAAAATGGTTAAAAAGCGTATTAAAAAATTCCATTAATAAAAAAATAACGCAGTATAGAGATAAATTCGGTTTACTTCCTATGATCTCTTCCATTTTTCATATTATTCATTTATTAAAGTCACTTATATAACGGCTATATACGAGACAGAAGTGGGGATTCACCGGAAATACGACAACATGGCGGCGACTCTTGCTCATATCTGATTTCAGAAACTTACGATGAGGGTGGAGGACGTACGACCCCTTTCCTCTCTCATTCCCTTTTCCTATACCTACTCCTAGTTTCAAACTTTGAATGAATTTCAGTGGCACGATTATTAATGTCACATATATATTAGCAATATCCACACTCTCCTCTCTTCCGGGTGTCTAACAAGAAACGGATGTGTAAAAGGAAATCCGAAAATTGGACCGATGAGATCAGTTATTACCACTGCGCGGAATTTCGGAATATTATTTCAAGATATGTATTCTTGATGCACCCATATATGTAATACTACTATATTGCTAACGCAACCTCTTTTTGGGAGTGGGGGGTATGCGAAGACAGCGAGATAGGGAATATCGGATCTCTCACTTCCACAGTATACTCGAGTGTGGTGCGCATGCGCTGTACACTATCTAACAAGGGAAGTTTCACAACTGTCCGGAACCGATTTGATTCTCCATGAAATATGTTGTTAAACACTAAAATCTAAGAGACACGTATTTTTTTATACGTGCGCTAACTCATGTTTAAGGGGTGAAACACCCCTTTGAAAAAAAACGGTATTTCTATTTTGAGTCGAATACCGTCGGAAGTATAAAAGATGAAAAAAAATTTTTTAAACAAAAGTTGTACGGTTTCAAGAGTGCTTCAATGTTGTGAAGAAAAAAAAATTTTTAATTTTTTTGTTAACAATTGTTAAACAAAAAAATTTTTTTCTTCACAACATTGAAGCACTCTTGAAACCGTACAACTTTTGTTTAAAAAATTTTTTTCCATCTTTTATACTTCCGACGATATTCGGCTCGAAATAGGAATACCATTTTTTTTAATACGTGTCTCTTAGATTTTCGTGTTTAACAATATATTTCATGGAGAATCAAATCGGTTCCGGATAGTTGTGAAATTTCTCTTGTAAGTGAGAGGTAGATATTCGTCTGCACCGTGGTGTTTTCGCCAGCTTTTAATTGGCGTTAGCAATATAGGAGTATTACATATATGGGTGTACCCACGTTAGAAACAGTATATACATTGAACAAAGTACTAAATTTTAATAAATATTTGTCTGAATAATTTTAAGTAAATATTTACTAAATGTAAACATATATTTGATACAAAAATCATTAATTTGATTTAATCATCTTATTTGTACTGAGTAAATATTTATTTACTAAATGTTTATTTAGTACTATTCAAAGAAATATTAAGTTTAAATAAAATTTTTTTTCACTTTATAAATATGATGCAGGATAAAAGAAGATTAAAAAATTGTAGATCTTTGATAGGAAAAGAATAATTTTATTAGAAATTTCTTTCGATTTTTCACGAAAGATAAAATTTCGCTGTATAAATTATCACCTTCATATTTATCTCTCCGTAAATTCGAAAAACAACAGCGAAGAAGTGGAATTTTAAAAAGAAACTCGAACGACGGAAGGAGGAGAAGGAGGAGGATTTGAAATTCCACGTTCGCTTCACACCTGCAGCTTCCGCGCACTTTTTCCTTTTCACCCCATGCCGTCATTTCTGCCGGCACCTTTATGCCTTACACCCGGTGCACTTTGCATACGAATATCGTCTGGCACCTCGACCTGGCGATCACCGTTGCCGTCACCAGCAAAATGAAAGTGCATTAAACGTTCAACGCGCACCCCCGTCTCACCTTCCCGTCTCGCGCCATGAAGTCAACGAAGAATAAGGATCGCGCGTAAACGCTGCAACGAACTTATTGCGTCTGCACGACTGCATCCAGAAAAACGTTTCGGTTGCATTCGTGGAACGTTCGCCTCGCAAGAATATAACGCTAACTGGATATTTTATATTCCTGTGCTATGAAGTGAAATATATAACTGGACATTGAAACATTTTTAATGTATTATTTAATATTTCGAGAAATGTCTAGTTTCATATTTCGTCCAGCTAATTACTAATCAGTTATTACAAAATGAGTCATAACAGAATAATATGTTGATACACGTTAATTCATCAATACGTGATCATGATCAAAAGAGTAATTATTTTCTGTTTAATGAACGATAATTTAATCGTGATTTGATTACTGTTATTATTCATTAAGCATTCCAACAGTTTATTCTGTAATTGTTAACATCAACCGCCAATTCTGTTATTCAATAATAATTATTGAATCGTATTTTATTCTTGGATCTCGAATTGGAGCATAAAACCGCTTTAAAAGTCGGCTACAGATAGAAACACGATTCCGCTATTTCTCGTGGATAATTCGAATTTTTCGAGGACGCAAACTCTGCACTCGGGCTTGGTAAAATGGCGGGCAAACTCGAAGTTTGCGGAATAGGCTGAGATATTTTTACAATTTCAACGAGAAATCGTAGGTGCACCTATAACTTCGGCAGATTCCATGAATGCTTTCGTATGATCGAGCGTGAAAGAAGATTCTTCGGAAAAAATTCCATGGTTAGGTCCGCACTCCATCGATCCTTTTATTTCCTCCCCTTTAGCTTCGACCACGCAATTGAATTATTAAAACCAAACTCGGAGTCATCTCGAATCAACTAATTTTTATATCTGTCGTTTTAAAGCGAAAAAACAAAGAAAGGAAATACATATAAAAAAATTACACTAGTTTACAAATTTTGAAAAAATTAAATGCTCAACATCTGATTTGTTTTCTAATTTCAATAAAACTTCACTATATATGGAGAAAAATGTCTTTTCTTATTTATATCTCACAAACCGGACCTAATAAAGATAATTTAATGACAAATTCAAGCGCAGCATTAAAAATTATTCTAAACAATCTTCATATGCTCTTGCACAAAACCTTTAAATTAGTATTATTATCATATCATATTATATGTATAGAAAAGGAGATAAAAATAAATATAAGGGCATATAAACAGAAATAAATTCCTATTTATACTGCTACTTTAACTCCTATTTATATTAAAAATAAAGTAAGTTTAAATTTTTATTATACATCATGTTAATTATTATTTCAGAGGCCGGGATGTATCCACGGGGAGGAGCTGCCATATTTTTTCGGAGCGCCCCTAGTTGGAGGTTTGTCTCATTGGCCGAAGAACTATACTAGAGCCGAGATAGCGCTCTCCGAGAGTGTGATACTCTATTTGACAAACTTTGCACGTACCGGGTAAGTTGTGGAAAAAAACATCTTTCGCAATGTACTCATAAAACAAAAGACCGACTGGTTTACTGTTAACGATCCTGCTCGTCAGAAATCCGAACGAGGGTACTCCTGATCCAGGACCTCTCGGTTCCAGACCGGAAAGGACCAAGTTTAAAAATATCGACTGGACCGCTTATGAGGCCGTCCATAAAAAATATCTTAGCATAGGTGAGTGTTTGTGTAACGTTTCTCTTTAATCTAATATTCTTTTATGAAATCTTCCCGTCGTGAAAAAGTTTATTCCCTTTTGATATTTTTTTTAATCCTTTGTTTCGGCACATCCCCTTTAATTTCAAAGCTGCTTGTCTGCTTTTCAAACTGAAACTTGACCTATAAGATAATTCGATAATGCTTTATTCGATTTTAAAGTTAAAAAAATATTCAAAATAGTAGGAGTCATTATGGCGAATAGAAAAAATAAAAATATTTCAAAAGAAAATCTGATTTTTATAAAATTTGGTTTTAGAAACTTTTTAATTTAAAGTAACACACACATCAAATTTCCAGTTTAGCTGTATTTGAAGCTCATCAGTCTACGCAAGCAGTGGTACCTATTTCCGAACTAATTTCTAAACTCTGATTATGAGCCCTAATATTAGATTTTCCTTCATTGGAGATTACTACCTTTGAAATTCAACATTTTCAAACTATATCCAAACTCAGCGATATTAACCCAAGCAGAACAACAAAAGTCATTATGATATCAAAATGACTCCAAAATCATTATTAAAAGTCAATTGTCAAATTTTTTTCAATCATTTCCGATTCATTTTAATGTCATTTTGACGTTATCGTGACTTGTTGTTCTGCTTGGGAAGAATCTCCTAAAACGAATTTCAATGAATTTATTTCTTTTCAATTTAAATTTTTTAATTCTGGCCATAATATATCGAATTTAGCGATTCCGAAAACCTCTAGAAAACAAGCTCTTCTTTGAAGTTTCTTTGCTGAAAAACTTCTGTCTTCAAATTAATTTGTCTTTTTCATATAAAGAATGTAATATTGAAAAATGTTAAGTTCTATATACCTATATATTTTATGACATAAAAATTATTATAATAATATGTATAAAAAGTAAACAAAATTGCTTATACTTCGTTAACTTTGTAGAGCTGAAATCGAAACTGAAGAATCACTACAGGGCCCATCGCCTTTCTTTTTGGCTGAACTTGGTGCCCGACCTTCACAAACCCGGTTCAGATGACGTTCCTAGGTCTCATCATCTTCTCGATGCCGAGCAGGTATTACAACTACAAAAACAATTGGTAGTTCATTTATATCAATATAATTATCAAAATTGAAACAAATTAAAACAATTATGTTGGACTCAGGAAGAATTTTATTGTCCAGGTGCCACCCAGATTCATTCAGAGGCTACCAACAACTGCGAGAACGACTACGTTGGAGGTAACATCTATTGAGAAATCCTCGTCCAACACGTCAACGATTATGCCGAGCGACATTACTTTCGAGGATTCCACGGCGTTACCCGAGGATGGCTTCGCGGCGTATTCCACCGCCCTGAGCGTGACAATCGCGATCGGCTGTAGTCTGCTGATCTTGAACGTACTCATATTCGCCGGGGTGTATTATCAACGCGACAAGAGCAACCACCAGCACCACGGCTGCTCGAAGAAGCGCCAGGAGAACGGTCAAATGCCGAACAATATTTGCGGCGAGCTGGAGACCAAGACCGCCGAACGACATCACATCCAGCACATACCACCGCCGGAATTTGCTGACCTCCAGAACAATACCTGTCACGTGCCTATGCCGCCCCCGCCACCGAAAAATACGAAGCCCGGCAAGCCTGGCCAGAACCTCATCATCAGTCCCAACCAGCTACAGCAGGAGAGCTTGGCCATGACCGGCACTGGGACCTTGAAGAAGGGACACAATCATCCTCAGGTCATGGAGGAGTTAAGGGTCTGACTTTAGGAGACCGCGCGGCCACCGAACTAACATGGCCGCGAGGAAATTAGGATCCTGAAACAATCGTCAGGGAATCACTTCGAAATGGGAATCACTTTCCAATTATCAATCTGACCATGGACATAATCAGGATACTCAAGAAGAAATACAATCATTGCCAGGTCACAAAGAAGCTGAGAGTCAGATTCTAGTGAATACCAAAACTTTTAGATTAGAAACCGTCGAGTGTCGGGAAACCTACTGAGATGACTCTTCAGAATGTTCTTCGTCAATGGTTTGGCCATCAGAAGTGGCAAAATCGTGCAGAAGGAACCGCAAGACGATTAAAAGAGACAAAGTCTGAAATCAAAAACGGAAAATCATTTCAGGAATAATGTTATCTAACGATACTCGACGGAAAATGGAACAATTCTTCAAAGTTTTTCGAAGCGTGATATTGTCGATAGATAGGAAGTGGTAAAGGATGAAAAGTAAATGGAGGACTTTCATTGTTATGTGAGAAGTACATATTAGTGCCAGGGGCATGACTGGGATTTTGAACCTGGAAGCTAACTGCTGGCCTTTATTGTAGACCCAGAAAGTCGAGGTCCAGTCGTTTGGGCCAAGCAGTGTTGCTTCCGTTCGCTAGTTGCTGCCCCTGTATTAGTGGCACCGCCATACTGTTATCGTTTTCTACCTTTCGAATTTGCGACCAACTGCCGAAAATCACATAGTCTTCGATGGATAGACAAATCTGCGTTAAGTAGGACTCTTCATCCTCAAGAAAAGAATTTGATCATATTACATTCCTTTTTGATATTTTTCATCCTGTTTTATTCCCATGTATTTTTTTAATTTTATTAATTATTTAGATATATTTTATTTAAAGATTCTAATTTTATTAATATATATATAAAAGAAGATTGATATCTTCTTTTATATATTTTTTCAACTTTCAGTAAGATTCGTTAGAACAAATTAGTAAACAATTTTCTTACACACATAAACGAAATTGTCAAAATTGATGGTACTTTCTTAATCTTTTGTGTTGTCAGCTTTGTCTCTTTCTCTTTCCTTCTTTTGCATTATACTTCCATGTAATATAGACTGAAGGTTCGAGCCGATTTGAATCGTGCCGACACTGTCCTCGTTCTTCCGAGTGATAATGATTATGACAATGGTTCGAATCGCTGCCACGACGATTCATTTCTATGACGTCGATCGTTCAAATGCTCAATTAAATATTTAATTAATACTTTCTTTCTCTCAATGATGATATGTGATTAAATTTTTAAATCAAATTTATCCTTAGCAGCAAAATTTTGTCACGACAAAGATTGACAAAATACATAAAATTTCAACAATTTCGTGGAATTATTACAATATTCTAGTAATTTTTTGCAAATTAAAATATAAGATAAAATTAAGACAAACTTCTGCACAATAAAAATTTGATAAATTTCTGAAATGAAAGGGTTAAGTAGGTGATCAAGAATTGAACAATTTTTTTTAATCATAAGAACAAAGAAAAATCGAATGATTGACGACACTCTACAGTATATACTGCCAAACGATCGTGAATTAAAGAAATCTTACGGATCGTTGAATGAGAAATCGTTATAAGTCAAAATTCTAAGACAGAAAGCTGCTGCGATAAAAAGACGCGTTGTTTTTAATCCATCAATGTATTTTACAAAAATAAGACAACTGCAAATTTAATCAATCTTGTTGTTTTAAATATAAACATTTCCAAAAGAATTATATGCGAGGCAGGCATTCGCACAACAATTGATTACAAACTATTTGAAAAATTATATTGTTATATTGTTATAAAGTTGTATTGTTCATATAAAGATTTCATTAGACATTATTCTTCGTTTTAATTTTATTGATTTCACCAATCTCATATCATTCGTATCATTTTTAAGACTAGTAAATAATAAAAAGACAGAAAGAGATTAAATTTCTAGAGTTGTCCTATTTTTAAAAGATTAATAAAAATTTTTTGAATATCTGAACGGCGACAGGCTGTTGAAAGAACTTTCGAATGTAATTTCGACTGTAAATAAAGATTAATTAAATTTAGGTCTGTCGCTGATGCGCTGTTAACGAGTGAAGGATATACCAAAGAGCTCGAGAATAGCTCTGATTGTAATATTATTGCACATCGATGAGAAAAACGGTATGTCAGCGTAGTCGGAAGCACACTGGACGTAATTTTAAATTTGTATATAATTGACATTACAATAAACTATATAATAAACTATCAATCATTTAATCCAACCTATCCGCTCAAAAAATTGTTTTGTCAGCTTACAAAAAGATTAAAATAGTACAAATTATTCAAGATTGATTGAATAAATGTAAATTAAAAACTGAAAAATAAGCTGAAAAATAAGTTGCTTATATTGATCTGTATTCATGACGTTGAAGTTATAAACTTGCAAAAAAAGTTATACAAATATTTAATTAAGGACGGTATTCACAGTCTGTTCTTATCTTAAGATGCTAACGGCTTTCTGATTGGATCATGATATCTTAAGACTCTACTTAAGACGATCTTAAATCTAACTATGAATACCGACCTAAGACAGTTGAGAAATCTAAGAATTCCAAGGATTTTTTCTGGTGAACATAAAACTTTATTCGCTCATTCGTTGAAGCTCTACGGTTTAAATATAGTAATCGCGACACACATGTTATGACAAGTTTGTAAAATTTCATTCGCGAACCTCGGATTCGGACTAACACGAGGCTCTATCTAAGACACAAGGTACAAAAAGATGGGGTTGGTTCCTTTACCTCGACAAACGAACCTTACAATCAGAGAAACTTTTGACTCGCTTTTTAATGGCAGTTAAAGCGAATGCTTAGACTCGCTTTTCTTCAAAATTTCTCACGAATCACACAGATTATTTTTTAAGGATATTAATATTTAAAATTAAAAATGTGATGCTTGACATGTACACAATATAAAATTAAATAAAACTTAGATAATGTATATTTAAATTCAAATATCACAAATACAATATTAATGTTTAAAATTATAGCAAAGTGAAAAACTGCTGTAGATTTAGTATAAATATTAATACAAGAATTTTGATTCGCGATTGTGTACCTGATTACTATCAGTATTGTTAATTTGTAATTGAGCATTATGCTATTTCATGCATTTCTACTAATTAGTAAAACATACAGTCTATTTTTACAAGTATTACGGAGAATGTAATATAAAGAATAGAAAATTGTCAACATTTTCGTCTCTCTGATCGTGGCTCGTTATGTGGACAAAAGCGCGGCTTTTGTCCGCACAAAACTCGCTATCCTGCTCCCTCTAATCGTTTACAATAATACGGTACAATCTGTATATGCAATTGCTGTAACTATGTAGCATGAAGCTGAAATAATAATCCCGCCATTGCTACTCAACTACGATTTTGTCTTACGGTACAGCAAACAAGAAACAATAGCAAAAGGATCGCTCCTCCTCTCGCATGACATAACCACTCCTATAACGAAGTTTATCTCGACATATTTTATATATTTATATACCTTTGTAATATATATATATAATAAGTCGTAAATGCACTTGAGGCTCCGCTCTAGCCGGAACGTTCGTTTATAATTGTCATTCCAATTTAATTTATCTTAATTTAATCTAATTTGTTATAATTATTAAATTTCTTTCAGCGCCGTATTAAATATTAAATTATAATTATAATATTTATACTAAATATCAGTATTTTTTAAATGTTAAAGTAATAGTAATATTAAAATTGATATAAAATAAAACTCTTAATTCTTTAATGATAAGATACAAAAAAATTCATTAACTCCAAAATTTAACAAGAGTTCTTAATTTAATATGTAACTGCAAGAAATTAAACTATTTGAAAATATGTTAAAGCTTTATATAATATAATATTTTATAAAAAATAAAATCGTATAAAAACTATTTTTGATGATTTGCTGAGAAAAGCAATCACCGTTAGTTATCAATAAATTATCAATCAATTAGGAATTAGTGATTGCCATTGTAAATTCGCCACACGACGATCATTTCGACTAGATCGGCATACTTCGGTTTACTTATCAATTACATCAAGGAAAAGACATTGCTCGTAATTAAGTATTTTGAAATCGGTTACTATAGCGGATAGGATACATTGTTGGCTTTTTTGATTCAGGGATGTTTGTATTCCATTTGTAATAAAATTATATATAAATCTTTATATATATTTATCAATTTAGAAATTTATAAATTTAAAGATATTTTTAATGAATTTTTGCAATAGCATTTTTTCCACTTTGTTGCAATCCCGGATTATCGCGGGCAAATGTCTTTCCTTACAAAAATAAATAAAATAGTAGTATATTTCTAAGGGCGGATCTAAGAAGAGAAGAGAGAGTTCCACCCTTCAAATCTCGTGGAATTTGAAAATATTTTTACAACCTCAATAAGTTGTATATCTCAAAATATTCATTCTTTTCGATTGTAAGTTGATTTAGGGATATATTTTGTAAATAAGAGAGATAAACTAATTAATTTAATTAATAAACTAATAACATATTTAACTGCGTAATTTAAATTAAATATACTTAATTCAAATTCAATTAGATTTAATTTGATACACTTTGAAAGTAAATTAATTAATTAATTAATTATATATATAAAATAAATATATATATATTAATATTTAATTTTCACAATAATTAATTAATTCGGCAATATTTGGTTATTATATTATATTTGTGCTAACAAATCATAATCACAGTAACATACAAAAACATATACATGAGTGATGATTACGATACAATTTCGCGTGAGAAGTAATTGAGGCCTCACATCTTTTTTAAATCGTGAATCCTACTAGATCCGCCCTAAAACGCGTTGCCTCGAAATAGTGCTCGAAAAAACCATCTCGCGGTACATATTCAATATTGCTGTGCAACACTGTCGGATTAAACGCTACATGACACGTTATATAGGGGCTGGCTAGAGAGATAGCTTCATCCATCCCTTTGCACTCGTTCATCAATATTGAAAAATTTATTTCGTTATCAAACTTTTAAAAAATATCGTACATAGTTGTAATTCTCAGACAAATAAAAATACCTTTTTAACAGATATAATGCATTTATACAACTGTAAATATCACAAGTATTGAAAGCAGCACTATATATCTATATATCTATAAATAAATTAATCAATTATATTACATATTCCAAAGTCGTAATTATTTTGTTTTTCTTTAAATTCATTGAATTTTATTAAATATAAATAAATTTATTAAATATAACTGACAAAAATAAATATGTTAGAACGCACACAGTTGGAAAAAATGTGTTGAATTTAACATAAATCGCATGTCCCAAACGGTCCACTCAAATTTTTGAGTTAATTTTGCACAAGATGAATATGTTAGAAAATAACATGAATATCATGTAAGAGAATAAATGTAAAGAAAGATAACATCGACACAGTATAAACAAACCGTGGGAACACATTTTTTCAGAAAATTAACATTTATGATATGTTAAATTAACACATATTTCATTCATTTGTCTTAGAATTTACGTTTTAAAACATTATTTTTATATTACTTGTTCACTTATTCATAAATTATGTCATTTTGACATTAAGAAATATTGAATATCAATTTCACAAAAAAATCTTTAAATAACATAATCACATTATGTTAAATTAACACTCGAATATGTTAGAAAATTCAACACAAACTGTTAACACAAACGTGAGTGGACCGTTTCCAACACAAATACACAAACTTTTTTACTGTGTAATATAAAAATAATAATGAATGAATTTTCTAAATTCCATTTGGAATAATAATGTCTGACGCAATTAGATAAGTTTGAGTGCAAAAGGATAACGATGTTTGCTAGGGCTTGTAGAGATTTCGCGTCCAAGCACGGCTAATAATTGATTTATTTCTCCGATAATTCTCGATTAATCATCTTCTAGAGAAACATTCGACGGGTGTTTGCGTTTGGCGTAGCGTAGGCATTTCATTTTGTACAAACGGCCAAACGTTATACATATATAATTCCATTTTAACTCAATAATTTTTCAAATTATTGGAATTTATTAAAATTAATTTAGATATACTTTATATTTACATACGTATATAATTCATGTTAATTAAATTTAAATTTACAAATTAATGATATAGGTTTATAAATTTATCTTAACTGCAAATTAAATTATTAATAATTTGAATCTAAATTATCAATTATTTGAAATTTAAATGTGAATCAATAACTTCTTGATCATTTCTAAACAATTCGGCTGGCTTTTATATGATTTCTCCGTGATAAAAAAGATTTGCAGTTAAATATTCATATCACAAGAAGAATTCAGAAGGCAATAGTTTACAATAAAAAAAGATCACGAGTGAGTTTGGTCGTTTGTGCACACTTGCGTATCCACCGTCGATCTACAGACTTGAGTCTCGTTATCAAGTAGAATCGCTTATTATCAAGAGATATCGAAAAACGTCTATAAAGATTCGTAATACATGATACATTAGAAATATCCTCGAACGAACACCTTGCCGATAAAACCGTACCGTTATTGAGAAACTCGCGAACTCATCGTAATTAGCTTAATAACGACTTAATCTCAACTTCACCGAAAATTATTATTTTCGGTCATGCTTCCTCTGTTTTCTTTTTTTTTCTCTTCTTCCTTTAATTACACAAAAAACTATTCATTCGCAAGCTTCGGTGTTTTGTGCGCATTTTGTTATACAGAATCTCTGAACGAAGAGACAATATATATGCTTAAACTTGGAAAGATGTAGTAGCAGTGATCTCCACTAATCGCACATAAATCTGATGATTTTTTTTCCTACATCAGCGATCACTAATCAATTAATAGGTCTAACATTTAATAAAGCAATCGTCGAAACCTAGAGAGAAATCCGAATCATTTCAAATAATTTTGTGTCAAATAATTATGACATCATCTATTCCCATGTAAATTAATTTCTAGATTATTAATCTATTAGGAAGTAATCGCAAAAGAAATTAAATTCAAAATTCAAAAGAATTCAATTTAAACTAAACATTATATTCCATATAGCAATATAATTTATACTTTTTTTAATATGTAAACTATAATACAACAATAAATATATATTATAAAAGTTATATTTTATATTAATATTTCTTATATTTGAAAATAAATTTATTTCAACTAAAGATATGTGTCTTTAAAAAATTATGGATCACCGCTGTAAGTAAAGAATTGATTTTTCGAAGGATTGATTGAAAAAACGTTTGTCAAAATGATATGTATGGGATTTATCAAAAGCCAAATGGTTATTGCTCAAAAACTTGTAGCGATCAAAAAACGCTGCTATAATTATTATTTCTTTAACCCTTTCGCGTCAATTATCTATAAAAAAAAAGCATCTCTCTTTTATAGTTTTAGTAAAGTGTTATAAAATAATATCCAATGTCTGTAAGACCTATAATTTTATAATAATAATATAAATATATACTATATGTATATTTATATATAGATTTATTAATTAATTTATTAATTAATATAAAGTTGCAATAATAAATTCATATTGATCCACGATTAGGAAACTATTAACTAATACAATAATAAATACAAAATTTATTATTCATAATTTTACTATAACAAAAGCCTTATAAAATATATTTTAAGTTAGACGCGAAAGAATTAACTCTCGAAAGAGATTGAAAAAGCAGAGAATTTTACGTGGACTCAGCAGCTATCATCGTTTCAAGCTTAAACGTCGAAATACCCTGAAGGATACGGTTTCCATTATCTCGCACAAAGCCGAAAATAACGTAAGTAGCTAGTATCAGATATCGCATGAGTTTATCTAGTAGCACTTGAAACGATACTTAGGGCCCGAGATCGGCGAAGAAGGCCCCTGTTCCCATAACGACGTCAGAAGAAGCCAGCAATGGTATGGTGATTCGTGACGGGAGATTGACTGTGATTTTCCCGCTTTCTTTCTCTCTTTTTGCTCTTTCTCTCTCTTTCTCTCTCTCTCTCTCTCTCTCTTTCTTCAGATTGAGATGATGAATCGCCCTAGCAGATGCAGCTGCTTTCGCCCTCTGACTCGGAGCCATTCTGCATCGGCGACTGATTCTGCAAGTCGACAGCTGCTTTTATGTTAAGGCGTGTTGCGTTTTCAACTTGCATTCTTATCAAACGTAGCAATTTCGTCTCACTTCCTTTCCTCGGTGTTTCTTAAGAAATTAATTAAATTACATATGCTTCTTTTAAAAAGATAATCAAATCGTGTATCAATATATATTTCGCGTGATATAATCTGTCATATTTGTTGTGCCAATAGGAGGAGAAAGCGTTTCGAAAAATAAAATACCAAAAAGGCTTATGCACTTTTTGCAATTTGGCAATATTATTGGTCAGTAAATACATTATTGCACTTGATAAACATTTGATTGGTAGCCTTAAACTTAATCAATGCGTGTTGATGTTCCAATAATACAATAAATTATTATAAACCAAATAAAGTACAATGCAATCCTTAATGATACTACAATAAACAAATTTTTTAAACGATTTTTCTAGTATTATCTACAAATTTCTAAGTATTTATCTATTATAGTGATATTTGTCGCTTCCAAATCGATGACCTCATAACTAATTTTCCTTTAATTTTCACCTAATCAATAATAATCCTTCACACATAAGAATACAATTCTGATTTAACTGCGTATACCATCGCGTTTTAATTTCTGCTTATCAAAACTAATAAAAGTGACAATCGAAAAGCGTATAAAAGTCCAAAACGGGACGGAGAATATGTTCTAGAATTACTTGCTAATTTGCTAGAAATTTTTCAAAACAAAATCTTATAGAAAAAGAATATTACAGAACACGAAATAAAATAAAAAATAAATGTATTACAAAGTTAATAAAAGTTCGATTCAACCTGAAATCCAGCTAAAATTAAATTTTGAATTAGTATTCTGAATTAATTGTCCATAAATGTTATCAATTATAAGCTCAATATAAAAAATAAATATTTTCTTAGATCACTTGATACAAGCCCTACGTATATGTATAATTCTCAAAAATATTAAAATTGTTAATATAAATTCTTTCTCTTACAAATTCGTTATATGTAATTTTGGTAACGTTTTACAAGAATTATTCTTAATAGCTCTTTTTATCTAATTTAAGAAAAAAATTCGTAGGAGAATAAATCGAGTTAAATGAAAAAATTAAGTTAAAATAAATATTTTGAAATAAATTATATTCTCATATATCAATGTTTTAAAAATAATGGCAAGATAACAAAGAACTAGTATAAGGGAAAAATAAAGAAAATTCAGACGAAAAACAACAAAATATATTATGCAATATTTCTTTATATTATCGATAGTTTAAGTTTTTTTTACATAAATTAGGATATTAATAACAAATTATCAACAAAAGAGACATTACAATATAAAAATATCTTATTACAAATTAAAAGGTTTTTTAATCCAAATTTCAAATTATATATGCAATATACAAATAATGTTTCTCTCTTCTTTTATAAACTAATTCTTTTATAAATTTACGTTGATTCAGAAAGAACATATAAATAACAGCTCAAGGAAAGAAAATATTTGATTCAATAAAATAAATCTGAGTTTGTACAGAGTTATTCATTTATTCTACTCTTAAAGTATGCTTTGTAGAAAAGAGATATAGTTAGCTGCTAATTAATTAGCCACTTATTCCGTAAAAAATTTCTTTTAAATGTACTTCTCCTCATTTTCTTTCTTTTTTCTTGTGTAATTTTCCAGCGCCAATTAATATTTATGTTTTTAGAATTAGATCAAATTAAGCTTTCAATGTAGAGTTTCACCTACTTATTTTTGCTCTATAGTATCGGATAAAGCGAGGATATATTATTAGTCATTAAGACTTGACTATTTAAAATTTTTAATTATCACGAGAACTGCATTTACGTAACGCGTTTAATCTATAATCCATAATACCAACCAATACTCCAAATCGATGTGATTGTTGCTAAATATAATAAATGCAAATGCAGCTGTCTTATTTTCCCTATTTATTGTAAACGTATAAGACAATTAATATATCGTCTTTATTGATAATAAATTGTCTCTCTTTCTGTAAAATAAATAAAAACACAAAAATGTGATTCACTTCTATCAGCCGTTTAATGTTAATTTGAGCAACTATCGATGTATGTTTAATTGTACGCGTAAAAAAATACATACGATATTAAATAACCAATATTAACAAGTGAAATAAACTTAGATAAACTTTGATATTTTAATAAGGGCTGCATCAACTCTTTCAGCTTTGATACTAATTGATATTTAAATAAAGAAATAATTTTTTAAATTGCCTCTTTTTAACCTCTAAATCTTGTCTCTTTTATAAGGTACATAATAAATATAGGATTGTTAAAAAACGCAAAACACTTTTCCAATTAATAAAGACTTGTGTACAAAAAGATTCAATAAATTTTAAATTATTTTAATTCGAATAATTATTTCCATTGATTAAATGATAATTTTTCAAATTTAAGCAATTTTGATCGTGTAATAATAATAGAAAATAAAACATTTTTAATCTGATTTAATTTGTAAGAATCCAAAATGGGTTTAATTTCTCGCAATTTTTTTGAAAGTATTCCATAATTTTATCAAGAAATTACTGCATCAAAGTCAAAAGAATTAAATAATTTTTCTACGATCGGCTAATATATATAACACGTCAGTGTGTAAAAGCAGTCTTAAACTACTGTGTGAAACTGTTTTTTTTCTTGTCTTAATAAAAATCGTTGCTGCTCAGTGCACGGCTTCTCACGAGTTTTCCGAGATCACGAAAACCACAGGCCGAATGCAATCAGTATCCTAACGTCCTAAGTCATTAACTTATAAGTTAACTTAGCTCAGTGTTTTGTCTACTAGTCAGGGCATCGAACGGAAACAGAATTATATGTTATTCTATTCGAATAATCTTGAAGTAGAACAAATTAAAATAAATTAATTGTATTAATACTATTAATATATTATAAATAATAATCTTATATATATATATATAAATATATTTATATTTATTACCTAAGAAAATTTCCAAGCAATGTTTCTCAATTTTAAAAATTATAATGTTTTCACACAAGTAAACAATAACATATTAATATATTACACATTAATATTATTAAATTGTAATATATAATATGCGATAATATATTAATACCTTACTAATTGCTTACTAAAAAAAATCGAAAAACAATTTTCTTAGAAATCTCTTTGGAAAATCGGTTTATGTTTCTCGAAAACGTTCCTAAACCGCTCGAGAATGATCTGAGACGCGGTTCAAACTCTATTCAGAAATTACTAAGACTTTGTGATTCGATTCAATTCGATACCCTGCTACCGTACAGGCCGACGACGACTTAGCATGCACAACTGCTCTCCGAGGCTTTCAGTTCGATTGGCGTGTCCTTGAGCACTACCTCTTGCACTACGAATTAAAGAACTTATTAAGGAAAACACAAAAGTATAACAAAACAAATGTAACGTCCGGCGGATTGCCAAATAAATCCAGTTTCGAAATCAAGAGCGAGAAATTAGAATGAGTGGATGATCCCACAAAAAATATGACGAATAGCAAGAAATTTGAAATTTTTAATTGTTATCAAAAATCTTATTCTTGAAAAAAAAAATATTAAACAAATATATAAAACGTGGAAGTTTCATGTTTGAAGGGAAATAGTAACAATAAATTAATTAGTAAATAAAAACGGGAAAAATAGCATATAAGAATCGATTTTCACTATTCTAATTTGAAGAATAGAAGAAAAAAATGATAACAAAAATCGATAGTAATATACGAAGTTGAAAGATAATGATAATAATAGATAATAATGGGTAAAGTGGGAATTATGTATACGTAAAACAAGAGAAGTCGCCGCGAACGTTCCTGCAAATATGCCATGCAAATTGCGTGCAATAAGTATCTTACGCAAAGGATACTGTCTTCGGGAGGCTTGTTTTCGGTGGAGTCCATACCCGGCAGAGCCGCCGCTACTCTTCTAAATAGCTAAAATAATTAATAATAACAATAATTTTACTCCACACACATAGACGACGATACAGGTCGAGAAGCTTTCTCTATGTATCGAGCATATAAAAGGCTGACACAGTTACCTGTTTAACATTGTAGCCAGCCTTAGCACTAGTTTCGATGAACATCACATTTAGTTCTTTCGCTTTTCGCTCGCCCTCTTCTGTCGAAACTTGCCTCTTATCACTCAAATCAGTTTTATTGCCCACTAGCATAATTATCACATCACTTCCTCTTTCAGTCCGCACATCGTCTATCCACTTGGATGTTTGGTGAAACGAGTTGGCGTCTGACAAATACACAATATTAATGTTATGGTTTATTTATCAGGGTGTACCAATAATAGCTTATGCCAGCATAATTAAATTTATATTATTATTATCATCATAAACATTATTCATTAATATTAAATTTCGTTAATAAAATAATTTATTAAACTTTCACAAAGAGAATCAAAATTATCGATTTAAAGCGCTGTTCATATAGATATTAAAAAAACAAAAATTGATTTAAAAAATTAAAATTAACGAATCTGAAAATATATATACCTCCAAGCAGATTTTAAAGTTTTAAACTAAAAATTTATAAATAAATTTATGTAAAATATATCTTTTATATAAATAAATTTTAAATTTCTTTTATTCGAACAATATTTCAACATCAAATTCGAAGCTACTGGCACATAGCTTTTTAGGACACCGCATTCCTTATATACCGAGTGCTTACTGGTAATATCGTAAACAACGACTGCGACAGTAGAATCTCTGATATAACTAGGTATCAAAGAACGGAACCGTTCTTGCCCCGCTGTATCCCACAGCTGTAGTCTCACAGTTCTGTCTTCAAGATACATAGTTTTGCTTAAGAAATCTATACCTATCGTAGCCTATAACATACATAATAATACATCAAAGTATTAAAAATTATTCAATTAACTCTTGTCATAATACCAAAAATGTAAACAAATCAAGTTACTTTCAGAAATTTACAAAAAAATTGACAAAAGAAATTGACAAAAATGTAAACAAATCAAATTACTTTTAGAAATTGACAAAAAAAAATTAAAACTAATTCTAGAAAAATAATTTAAATAAGGTAAAATAATATGTGTGTAAGAAATATTTTTAAAACGAGATTTAATATTAATATAATGTTAAAAAATAAGTTTATTATATTATGTACTTACTTTACTTATTTAATTTATTATAATGTAATTAAACACAATATATAATTTATTAGCACAGTGCCTCATTACGATATGAATAATGCAATAATATGAATATACATATATAGAAAGAAAGGAAGAAAAAAGAAAAGCGTGTTATCGACGTCCTGTAAATTTCTTCGTCTCTCTTTCCATCTTTGTCGATTAGAAAAAGTCAATATCTTGGTTCCCTACTGCTTCTTCTACTAGACACACATTAGATCTTTTCCTTCTAACTGCACTTTTTTGCCCTTTCTATATTTACAATGTAATTATATAATTATATACTTAAAATTATATATAAAATAATACAAAAAAAAAAAGCAAAATTTTAAAAATACAATTATAATAAATAGAAAAAATAAATTAAGTGTAAGTGCAATTTTCTTGATTAAAGGTTCAAGTAAAATAAAGAATTTAAATAATTTTACGAGCCGCGCGCGGAGAGGCAGATGGTAAACAAACTATATAAACATATAATCGATAAGTCGCCAAACAATGTATAGCCATTCTCATAAACATGCCAATAAAAAATTATTACGTGCATTGATAAATGCATAAATGTATTATCAATAAATATCAAAAATAATATTTACAACATAGGATAAGAAATAGTAGAGTAAATAAAAATCAAGTATTTTATTTCGCACACAATAGTACACAGTATATTATAATGAAAATTAATAGGTTGGGGATTTAGGATAAAGAAACAGACTGATATTGTAAATTATATTCATGCATAGGAACTATTTATTTGATAAATGATATTTAGTGTGATTATGATAAAGGAAAATTGAAAGCAAAAAAGAAAAATGCAAGATATTAAATAATCTCAAACTGTAACTTGAAGCAATTAGATTTATAAATAACTGTGTATTATAATAATACAAAGTATATTTTTAAAAAATGATTACATTTTTCAGTTTCTTTCTTATCTAAAGAAACTGCATTATTGGATAGGGTTCCCCTAGATACTATTGCATCACACTTTATAGCCAATAAACATCATTCAATATAGGTTTATCAGAATTTATAGCCAATTTTGCTACTGCTCTAAATCATGCAAATAAATGCAGTAGAATTTCATTAAGTATCAAAAAATTATCTAATTATTTATTTTTATACAAGTATAAATCTGTTTTTAATAAAATTTAAAAAATTTGTCATTTCTGATAAAATTTTATAAATATGTCAATTTTGTATATAAATTTTAATTTTAATTTTAATAGAAATATATTAATAAATATTTACATAAATTAAATATTTACGTTAAATAAAAAATATATTATGCTTTGATCTATAAATTTAAAACAAAATACACATAAGCTATACAATTTTCCACAACCTGCACAATGTGCATTTAAAAAACTGATGAGTAATAAAAAGCACACAACAGAAATAACTTATTTACATTAAATATAAATTAATTATTAAGATATAAATAAATTATTACATACCTGGTATGTGTTGTCGAAGCTGTCATACATAAACCGTGTAATAAGAGATGTCTTTCCAACTGCAATAAAAAAATTACATGACGCATTTATTTAGATATAACTTACGTCCTAAATTTTTTTAAAACTTTACATAAACTTTAAACTTTAATTAATTTTTAATTTTTTAAAACTCAGGGAATAATCTCTTTCGTTAAATTTATATTGCTAATTTTTTCTTTGCACCATAAAAAAATTACGATAAACTAGCAAAATTAACATTTAAATTTCTTTATTATAATAAATTTTCTCAGTTCTATTATTATAATAAAGAAACATTCTAAAGACCCGCTTTGCCATGCAGTTAAGGATATATCAGGTGTATACAGTTTCTAGAAAAAGTGACTGAAATTGGTATTTTATTTTTCGTATAAAAATAAATATTATATGTATATGAAATAGTTCAGTAAAATCAATATTTATATTTAACAATACAATTTTATAGTCTAAATGAAAATTTTCTTATCTCATCTAAATTTTTTTTTAATACGTTTACTTCTTATTGAAATAATTTCTATCCAAATTCGAAATCGCTGTCAAACAACGTTTTGTTTTACTTTTAAATACGATATAGAAAAATCTATAATTTTTTTCATAATTTTGTCATTTCGTTAAAAAATACGTGTAATACATCCTTAATGCTGAACATGAGGGTGCCACTTGGCAAAAAGCGCAGGGCGCAGACACCACGTTGCAGATTTTAAACGCCTGGACGCGCGGTCAGTATGAGTGCAGTTAACACGGCGACACCGTGTCGTCGCGGACACGGTGACGGTGGGGAATATTGATCCATAACCTAGAAGGGTACCAGGCGACGTCGGGAAGGGTCGTCACCCCGATCGGGCCCGTAGGACCGGAGCTCGCGATAGCACTTCCCCCCGGTCGGGAAAATCGATCCGTTTCTTTTCGTAGAACATCGACGCACTTGTTGACACACCATCGGAACACTCACCGCTCTGCTCGCCCAGAAAGACAAGCTTGAACTTCCGCAACGGGTTACCGAAATCGCCCGAGGACGACATGTTTTTCTTTCGTCGCGCCTGAACGGATTCTCGGCAGGCTTAAAACCGGCGGTCTCGGTGCCAACGGATACTCGATAACGCGCTCAATGGCCGCCACGACGAGTCATTTAAGCGATCAGCTGCACCGGCTGATTAAGGTCTCCGTTAGCTCTCTCTCTCGGGCTATTCGGGGCCGACAGCTTGACAGCTCGCGACGCTCGCTTAGATGCCACTCCTTGCTGCGAGTCGGCCACGTTTAACTGGGAAGTGACGTCGCGCGACGTCGCGACCAGCGACCAGCGACTGAACAACGGAGTCGAAGGGATCGCCGTAGATGGCACCACCGGTTTCCGAAATCCGAGAGGAGAACGGGAGAGAGAGCTGGCTGATACTCTCGCAACTCTCGAAAGTCGTGCTGTAACGATCCCCCGTGGATGCGCGATGGATAACCAATCAGAAATTGGTTCTCGACCCAAAAGAAGAGAGCGAGAGAGAGTGACCACCTAACGTCATCTACTGCTACGGCGGTGTTTTAATTTCGAACGTGTCTACTTGAGGAATTATTCAGCAATTTCCACAATTGCTTCCCACAAATCCCTTAATCATATTTTAACTATAATATAATTTGTGTTTTAATTTGCATCTGTATTTAAAAAAAATTTTGGGAACGGCTTCTAGCCGCAATAATAATTTTTATTTTTTTTACACGTATATACACGCCATACACATGAACCCGCATGCATTTGGTACAAGAAGCACATACAGCCATTATATACACATCACAGATTTCCATGCACCGTTAGATTACTCCTGGTGTGGCCGATTGTTATTTCTGTAGGGATCCTCTATGACGAGGGAGTGACAGATCAAATCGTAGCCAGTTCTGTTGAACCTAAAGAAGAACAGGGAAAAACAAATCGGAAATATGAACGCCAGTACGAAATTCTTCACCATTGATCGGCCCAATGCTAATGGCAGGCCCAAATCGGTCCCAGGGCTCACCAGGACCACGTCCTGCTCATTCGGACGTTCAACGGGAGTTATACTTCGGCATTGAACCACCCGTAAACCCATCATGTACTTGCCAGGAGTAGCTCCTCCGATAAGACCGTACACTCCATGTTGAAGCCAGAAGGCCTGAAATTTCATGCCAAAAAAATTAATAGTTTACTTCTCGCATTGACTTGTCTTTATAAAAAGACTGTTTCATCTTTTTAAAAAGTGTCAGTGGAACTTCTTTACCTCAAAGATACAAACTATCACGCGATGAATTACTTCCAAAATCAGAATTCCATAAGTCATCTCCAGAGCCATTTTATAATCGATACGTAAATTTGTTTGCAACAAATCTAAGTCTTCAATGTCTCTAAAATTACATTAGAAGAGAGATGTTAGAAATATTTTTAAAAAATTTAAAAAATAGAGCAGAAATAATTCAAAGCACACCCATGTTTTTCTACCTACATAAAATCGAAGACGTCGATTGCGATGAAAGTGATGGAAAACTTTAAGAGAAACAGCATTGTTGAATCTATAAATTCTGCTGCAAATCTTTTCCAAATCGGGGGAATCCGATACTCGTAACCTGAATCGATCAATTTAAGAAAGTCGTAAATCAACGATACTTAATATATGCGACAATTTCATAATTTTCTAAGACTTATTCTAACCATCAGTTCCTGGAGGTTGGAAAGGTCCTGCGGGTTGTTCCTGAGGTCTCCTTTGCCTCACTGTGTCGTTCTGTCTGTCTACATTTCCAGTTATTACTCCTTGTGTATTCGACGGCGTTGGTATTTGATTTGGTTGAAACGGCATTGAAGCTGAAATCATGCATTGTTTAAAATTCAATTCGTTTCTGACGCTGAAATTGTGTCTCGGCAATTTCTTAAGTTTGTCTAAAACTGTTCTTTATTATGTAACAAATTATATTTAATTTGTATAAAACAATTAAAAGTATTGTATCTTATATTGATGAGATATTTATTAAATATACTTATTATACGTAAATAAAAAAGCGGATAATCAAAATTTTAACTTTATCAGTACAATTTATTTCTTATTACAATTTTTAATATTTAATATTTAATGAAATATTTCGAGCCTAATATTTTTCTATATTTATATCATAGATATTGTATTATATATGTATATACATTTATATTTATATTTTCGTGTATAAGTAAAAATATAATTTAAAATTTTCTGATCTCAAAATATAAATATTTGTTGATCTTTTGTCAAGAATAAATGTCAAAAATAAATAGACTTCCTTTCTTTCGTACCAAATGTTGGATTCGTAACGGATTGCCCTGACATCATGTAATAGGGAAACATCGCTGCGACACTTTGCCAGGCGTATGCCTCCTGGAGCCATTCTTCCAACTTTTTGAAGTATCGCGATCTCTCCTCCGCTGGATTCGATTTGCTTTCGGAATTCCGCCCTGGCGTATCATCGTTTTTGTCGTCTGCCATTTTGACTTCTCGCTTTGCTTCCGTAAAAAAATTAATCGGTTCGTCACTCAATAAAGTCGTGAAAGTCGTCAATGTTGCTTATCGCTTAAAAATTTTCCCTGCCTTCGTTTAGCACAATAACAAAACGGTGACAATTGTCAAGTAGCGCAGTTGTCACTTCGTCGATTAATTTTTACTAGGATCAATTAACAAACGCAAGGTGCGTCGAAAGAAGATAAACAAATGCACTAATAATACTGTTTAATTATAAACAATTGTAAACTACATTCGATACCTGTGTCGCAATCAAGCACTACGCTCGTATTAGCGTGAACGCGCTAACGCTGCCTATATTACTGACGTGTATGATATCAAATGGATACAACGTAAAGCTTTCCACCGTCACGACAGCCCAGTGAATTTTTGTCACGACAACTTTTCCCCCAGACTTCAATCGTGGGGAGAACTCCAGGCTGATGTCTACATGCGCACTTCTATGCGAAAACGTTATTAATAAAATCTTAAATTTAGAAAGAGTACTTTCTTTCGCAAAATGAAAGATAAAAAAATAATTTTTCATCGTACATAATACTTTCATTAATTATAAAATAATATAAAATTTTCCCCCAAAACGTTTGAAAAATTCTAGATTAAATGTTACCAACTGCTGATAAAAGTATACCGGTAACAAGTTGATTAAAACCTTGAACTTGTTTCTAAAAATATCGAAGAATATTTCAACAAAAAGGCTTGAATTATTCCTGTGAATCTTTGGAAAAATGTTTTCGTGGTATTTTATCATCATTATACTTCTTGCAGTAGTATATACTTTTAAACTGATCGTTTAAAACGACCTCTGGTAGTTAAGATTGATACTAGAAGTAAAAGACAACTGACTTGTCCAAAATTATGATATTCGGAATTTTGTCCCAATTATTGTTTCGTGGCTAACATTTAGCGAATAAGTGCTGACGGTTTCCCCCCCTCCCCTCAACTTTTTTTAGTAATTAAACCTAATACAAAATTTATATGTTCTAATTTAAATCAGAAATTTATATTAACATTAAATTCTTTAACTCATTAATTAATGAGTAAAATATAAAAATAATGTTTAATTAAAATGTAATAGAACAACTTAATAAAAAAGAAGCACAACAGAGATTTGAATTATTTATTTAGGCTTTACACACTTACAGACAAGAATCCAAGATAATTGGATCTTTTAATTTAACTAGTATTTTTACAACTTTCTATAATTTTTTTCCGCCCACATTTTTCGTTTAAACTCGTTCACTTATTTCAATTTAAATTCAAGTGCTTCAAATCAGAAATAAGTGTGAATAAAACAAACTAGTTCTGCTAGTGACTTTCTCTTCAACTAACATTTTGAACATACTGAAATTATCTGTCCAAGATAACAATAAAAATCCAGTCGAATAAATAATAAAATCAACCTCTTACAATTCCTTTCACCGCCGAAATATTCAAATTTCTTTGAAACTCCGGACAAATCCGAGTTACCTGCCTGGAGTTGGAGTCAAGTGTTGGGAGTAAATAGGGATTTTCCTCTGAATCGGAGCGAGTTCAGAAGGCACTGGTTTCTGGTTGTGCGACCGTGCGACGTGCTCGCAGCTCCGGTTCAGTAATCACGGTGGGTCGCCGACTGATGTGGTGTGCCGTGTGGGTTTCCGACTAACGAGCAGTCAGTCATCGGAGCACCGGAGCAGTCGTTCTCTTTGTGCGCGAGGCTCACCGCGATAAGTATCTCACGACGGTGGTGGCCGTCGTCGTGCTGGGGGTGAGTCGCCGGGGTGGTCGCGTGGGAGCGTCGCGCCGTCGCGACGCGTCGCGCCGCGGCGACAGTGACAGCTCCGGTGGAGCACCTGAAGAGAGGGTGTGGGCCCGCGACGCGGACCATCGTACGACAGCGGGACCTTAGGTAAGGTCGAACAGGACAACCAGAGACGCGGACGAGTTCTCACGCGGTCTCCGCTCTCCGCTCTCCGCTCTCCGCTCTCCGGGCGAAGTCCTCTGCTTAGACTCTCCTCGCTTCTATACTTCCGCGAGACCGACCGTTATTACTCATCGTCTCGCGATCGTACACAATTTCTCATCTTCACGGAAATGAGCGTAACGCTCGTTTTCGGCCGTGCCGTATTAACGCAAGCGTGTAACGCAGATCCGGGTTCCGTCTGAAATTTCACCAGGACATTTCGTTGCTCCGAAAAAGAATCTGGTTCTTCGGATTCTACGCGCGAGAAAGGAAACAATAGCGGATCGTCTCCGCTCCTCTTTTTCGAGTCACTTCAAACGGAACGCCAGCCAGCCGGAATTCCGGAAATTCCAACTACTCCGAAAAACCGCAGTTACTTGCACGCGGAGTGCGTATTGTTCTCGCTCGTAAACAGACTTAACCCTAGAACACTGTTCCTTCTTTCATACTTGTTTACAATCGTACGTCTCTAAAAAACGTACATATGTCTAAAAAAAGGTGAGAAGGTGTCGAATTTTTGTTCGATTTAAATTTACTGTTTGAAAATATTTTAAAAAATCTGACTACTGAAAAATGTTTTTACAGAAAAACATTTCTTTAAAATATTTGAATAAGCTTTGTTGATAGAAATGTAGGTAATACAGCTCTGAAATACACTGAGAGAAAAATGTACTAAATTTTATTAAATAATTGTTTGAATAGTACCAATATAATATTTATTAATATACGGAAAATAAATATTTGCTAAATAAAAAATATAATAGTTAAGTCAAATTAATGATTCTCGTACCAAATAAATATATGTTTATTTATTCAGTAAATATTATCATTATATTATGTCGTTATATTTAACTGGCACTATTCAAACAAATATTCATTAAAATTAGTACATTTTTTCTCAGTGAATAACCACGTAAAATATACTCGGAAAAAAGTCAATTAAATATAAATCTAAAATAATAAATGCCACATATTGCGTTCTGTAGTCTATACGGTTGATCGATTTCTAATTTTTAAGCGACTGTGGGGAAACAATTTACTTAAATAAGTCTTTATTATAAAAGTTTTCTACTAAAAAGCATTTAAATCGTAACAATTATTTATGGCAAGTCGTGCATTGCACATCTAATTGATATGAACAAACTCATTATAGAAAAATGAAAGAAATTCCGTCATCTTTTTCGAGTGCACTTAAAAATGTTATAAACTTTACGATTTTATTCGTAAGTAGATAAATATAGAAAATGCGGAAAAATAAAATTGGAAGATCGCTATAAACTTTATAACGTAAAAACTTTTCGTTTGTTGGTTTGGAAACGCCTTATAATCGCGATTGTATGAAAAAGTGTCAAGAAGGAATTCTATCTGTCATCGTAACAAATCCCGAAGATTGATTATATCATTAATTATCGCTGAAGAGCCTGCTTTCTTTGTTTTTCGCACTTTTACCTTCGTGTTAATTATGTAACATTAATTATCTTAACGCTCGTAGTTTACGTTCTCTTCATATAACAATTCGCATCAGTAATAATGAATTGAATATTCAATCGGTTATAACTGCGAGAATTTCGTTATACATAAATTCTTTCATTATTATTTTAATTTATATTTACCATTTAATTTAAATCTTTTGTTTTATTAATTACTATATTTACATTAGTAATATTCGTTTGTTGCGTGTGTAGTTCGTCTTTAGACTGTTTTGATAAATTAAATGATAATGATGCTTAATTATATAACATCGTAAATTACGATATAACGTTTGATCACGTAATTCCACTTTATCGTTATGAATTTTATTATTCTCATTGCAATATCGTAATTATTGCAAAACAGTGGTATGTAAACGCATTTTATTTACGGCACGAATTTTTGCGACCCGGCGTACGTTCGGCCGAAAATACTCATTTATAAAAGCCGTCGACGCGAGCGATGCGACCCGATTATCGTTATCGATGCGAATATTCTCTTCCTCTGACAATGAGAGAGCATGATAATCGAGGGGAGCCAGGATGTATGTACGTTTACCCGGTTATCGGGCGAGACATCATCAATGTTGCATCCACAATCGTGTGGTTTCTGACCCGATGTATCGAAAATCGAACGTACGGCCGACAGGCCGCCTCGTCTATCGCGTCAATCGATATTCCCGCTTTTCACCGTCTTTTCCCACGCGACACGTTAATTGCACACCGATAGAAGATGCATCAACGCATTCTCCTCTCCAGAAGCCACGCGACTCGACCACCAGTCGCCGTGCACGAAACGTAAACGCCCGTAAAAAGATCCGAGCTGACATTGACAAATACGTCGTGATAAGCTTCCTTCTTTTTCGGAGAACCACAAAGAACGTAATAGATGCACTTCTCAGAATTTAACCTCTTGCCTTTCATCCTCATGGATATCTTGAATGTATCTTTTTTCTTTTTTATCTCGATAAGAAAGTGAACGATGTCAGATAAATGATTGATAGAAATCAAATATTATTATGCGCATCATTAAATTTGACGTGCAACGTTATATTGGGATATAAGCAATATCAAAATAACTATAAAATTATTTTGTAGAAAAAAATACATGAAGGTTACGTCGTAGATCATTATCACGAGGTGATCATCATTACGTAAGTTATTATGTAAAAGTTTAGATCATTACTATGTGCTACAAACGAAATAATAAAATTATGAAATATTGTTTCACATTTTTCCACTTAATTAAATTTTTATTCCTGTAATTTAGTTTAGTGATATATTTTAATATGTTTTTCATTTTTATATTTAACATTTATTATTATACTTTACAGAGTGACAAAAAAGTTTATGTGACAAGGTTTCGTGTGTTTATCAAATCATTACCCAAGTAGCAAGCTAATGTTATTTGTCGTCTTTTTTATGTCAAAATGACATTAAATATTGTGCCATTTTAACATTAAACGACGACAAATAATCAGCTTGCTACCTGTGTAATAAAATATGTATTTGAAAAAACAAACTCTGGAGTGTTAGTTACATTCAGTGTTGGGTAGTATCTCTGTACATGTATAGAGATATATTTTGTGTGTGTAACCTGTATCTGAGGTACATTCAAATTCGAGTATTTGTATCTGTATCTAGATAAAAAAAAACAGCATCTGAACTGATTTTCAAATATATTTTTCGGATACATTTGCTCAGCATAGTCATAATTCCATTTTGTGTATAATATAATTGTTGATTAATTCCATTCCGCAGAAAAAAAGCAGCTTTGCTGTTGCAAAATTCTATAACATGATTGATCTTTCCCTTAGTTCCTCACTGAATCTAAATGCAAATCAGTCATATTAAAGAATTTTACAGTTACACAGCTGCTTTTTCTGCTGAACGCAACCAGTGATCTTAGATTGTGGAATTTCTAACGCGTGTGTAGTTAAGCTGGAAACACAATGTTTGAAGCATTTTTAGTTTGTAAAACTATAATGAATGATGATGAATAATATCGTCTTATAATTCTTATTCGAAATCGTTTTACGATATTATTACAAATTTTTTCAATTGTCTAAATGTAACAAAAATGAATGAATAAATGATTCATTTAATAACTAATACATTTTTTTGCACATTACCATTATTACAATAAAATTAATGTAAGAGTATCTGAAATGTATTTGAAGATACTTTGAAAGTATCTGATATCTGTATCTATATACATTTTAATATGTGTATCTATATCTGTATTTAGATAAATTTTCGTACATGTAACTGTATCTAGATAAATTTTAAGAGTATCTTGCCCATCACTGTATGTGTGTGTGTGTGTGTATGTGGTTACATTTTATTAAATATTAAAGACCCTGTACTAAAACATTTTTATCGGTTCGTGAATTAAAGTCTCTATTGACTGCTTGGAACAATTTATCCGGAAAGGTACACAGTCATCGTTAATGCGTTCCCAAAGCAGCTTGAAGCTTGTATCAAAGCTAAATATGGTTATTTTAAATGTTAATAATTTTTAGTATTTATAATAAGATATAACTAACAGTTCAGAATTTATTTTTTATAAATATATGTTAATAATGATTTGATAAACACAAAAACTTTGTGATTAAACCTTTTTGTCACCCTGTATATTTCTCTCTCTTTTTAATCTACAATAAACTTTATATTTTAAACTTCTAATTTACCAGTCCTGTAATTCTGCATGTATATATTTATCGCGTAAATATCTTTTTCTTCTAAGATTGTCATATCTTATATTTTTTTAATTAAAAGAGAGAGGATGCGACGGCATATTTGCAGTGGTGACGAATGCATCTTGTATGCAAGGACCAAATATGAATCGCGCTTTTCTTTTCGTCGGCTCATTATCACGAGTGTGGCATCCTAGCGTCCTTGATGTTATCGATGATCGATAGGCGGATTGCCGAAGAGATTAAATGAAGCATTTAATGCAATTTGCACAATACGTAAACACGACGCGAGCGTCCAATCCAACCAACTACCTATCGATTTTATTCTATTCAATAAATGCATTTATTACACGCTATGAATGAGAGATGCAACAGTTTGTTGCGTCGTAAATTATTCATTCTTTGTATCCACATTTATTTGCCAAATTTAATTACGTAACTGCATCTTGGAACATAAAAGATATTAATATTATATACCAAGTATTTGCATCTTATTTGCTATATAAATAGAAAAGTTAACAATAACATTATTCGTATCTATAGTAAAATTATTTGTTTAATTCACGATATATATATATAATTCTAAAATTATTATATATTAAATATTTCACTTTAAAACCGAATATAATTTATTCACATATTATTTAACAAACGATCTCGTGAAATTTTACTATTACATTTATTCATTAGCATGATACGGGATACAATTTACTCTTGTCGCGCAATTTTTTTCATCATCGTTAAAAATTCTAACTGGGAGCTATACAGAAGGGACAGGGGC